AGAAGAGAAAGCCTGACAAAAGCCAATGGAACTTGTGACAAATGTCTTAGGAATTAACTGATAGCTTTCTGTAAACTTTGAAATCCTTTCTTGTTTTGTTATTTGATTTTTCTGTGTACATAGACTCACGAAATCTTAGTGCTGAAAAAGGACCTTAAAAGCATTTAAACCAATCTCAACCTAAATAAGAATCCCCTCTACAGGACACCTGGAAAATCATTCTCTCATTGTTATAAAGTTTTTCTTTATATTGGAACAATGTTTTCACTCACTGTAATTTCCTACTATTCTGTTTTCTGGGGCACAGAAATAATCAATCAATCAAAAGCATTTATCAAGCACCTACTATTTTGAAGCCATAGAATGTACATATCCTTTCACTTCAGGATCCAAATGCTGGGTAAGCATTTACCCAAAAGAAGTCAGTGACAAAATGCCCTCATACATAACAAAATATTTATGGCTCCACTAGGGGTGGGGTAGCAAAGAATGAAAGACAAGTCTATTGATTGGGGAATGGCTAACCAAGTTGTGGTACATGAATATGATAGAATATTATTCTACCATAGGAAAAGATGAATACAAAAAATTTGAGGAGACATGGGAAGATGCTTCCTGATGAAAAGTGAACTAAGCAGAAACAGGAAAACAATGTAAATGGCTAAAAATGCATGATAAATGGAGAGACCAACTACCAAAAAAAAAATCTGAAACTAAACACTTTATAATTATAATGACTAAAATTGGCCAGAAAGAAGAATGTAAAAAATGGACTTCCCTTCCTACTTTTGAGAGATGGGAGACTATGGATGCAGACCATTTTACACTGCTGGCCTCAGTTGATGTGTTAGTTAGTTTTGCTGAACTTTTCTTTTTCTTTGTATGAATCTCTGGGTAGCAGAGGAAGGGAGGAATATGTTTGGAAATGAAGTTGATTTCCAAACAATAACATGTTTGATTTTACCTAATGAATTCCTAAGTTGAGTGCTATAGGATACTTCACTTCCTTGATTACCCACCTCTCCTTATGAGATTCCTAGTAAAGAGAAGATGAAGTTCTATCTCTCCATCTCTTTAGTAATCGGTACTGTAGCATGAGCCATCAATCAAGTGCTTAGCCTCACCTGTCATTTAAACTACCTAATACCAGAAAATGGTCTGGGGTAATCCATGGCCACTGAGCCTCTCTCTGGCTTGCAGTATTGCCCTGTGTGCATGATAGCAATGTTCTTCCCTATTTAAGGCATGAGTTGATGTTTCCAACAGTCATCTAATCATCCACCATCCTCTTCCCATTACTTATATCACCAATTGAATGCCTCAGCAATTCACCTTTAATTCAAGAATATTCTGTAATAAGCAATTAATGAAATCTGATGAACAATAGTAAAGGGAAAGCATGATTCACATGTAACAAATGTAGACTACCCATTCTATTAGATTTCCCATATCCAGTACCTTTCAAATGTGGGAAATGTATCAAGGTCAAAATACACCCCATACCAGGGATGAGAACTAACCTGGAAGTTTGATTCTAAGCTTAAGTCCTACCTGGAGCTGAATGAAAGCATTGTTTTTGTTTTTGTCATCCACAGTTCTGTCCTACTCAAAATAAACTTTTCCCTTTGCTGCTTTAAGAATGCAATTGTGAGGGTATGGAAAGATTAACATGCAAAATATCTGAAGGAGGTCAAGATGCCAGATTTGTGAGAAAGAAAAAAAATCCTGGACTTATTAGTAACAAAAAATTGATTGAGAGAACATAAATAATTACCAACCTATATTTCTACTCACCCGCTTAGATAAAGTTTTTAAGAGTATCTTCTATATACAGATCCAGAGCATCCTTGATGAAATTATGAGGAGAAAATTCAAAAGTTTCCTTTCACAAGCGGTATTCAACAATGGACCTTATATTTACTACCTCACAATTAGCTAAAAGATGTAGAGATACTATTGTGCTTGTTGTTTGTTAATTAGGGGGGGAAAAGTGTTTGATTTGGAAAAACAAAAATGTGACCTTATTGGCTATTTTATTACAAAGTGTCTCCCACTCATATACCAGGATCATTCAGGATTTCTTAAAAGATATAACTATGAGTAAGTGAATGAGTAAGTGTAAAAGCATATATTAATCATCTTTAATATATTAATTAATAATAAAAATTAATATATATATACATATAAAGAGAGAGAGAAAGACCCTGCCTTGCCCTCAGGGTATTCAAATAAGAGAGGACCACACATAGAGGGAAATGGTAACTAGGGAGAAATGTTTTGTTCTAGGGGTGGGGTGAGGAGAATGGGAAGTATATGGGTAAGGAGCTATATCACAGGCTTGGAGGCCATTAAGTCCCTTTCGCCCCTTTTATCTTCAAACTGTTTCACTCCCTGACTGGCATTGTCAGCTCTGAACTCAATGTAAGTGATGTCTAGGGAGGGCATACATACAAAATCTTGTTTGTAGCAGCACCTCACCACATAACATCACCCACACACACATATTCAATCTATTTGATCTCAAGACCCTACAGAAGTGAACAATCATTTCTCATAAAAAAAAAAAGTTTTAGAATCCCTACATTAGGTCAGGTCGTTTCTTAGAATCCAATGCAGCTGTTACAATCTTCAATGATATGTGATGTGAATAAACTCTAGAGAAACAACTGAGTCAGGCTTGAAGTTATTTCAGAACATCTAGGGCCTTAGGGCCTTGAGCAGTAAAGCAATTAACACTGCAGTGGCCTATGGCCTAGAGATGCCCAGGGAGATAGGCAATCTATTGAGTTGTGATGGAAATTGCCAGTCTGCTGAGCAATTTAAGGATTCAAATTAAACATTTCAAAGAAAGTCAATTTAATTTCAAATAACATTATTGGCAAGATAAGGTGTACACAGATCACCAAAGTCAATATATTATGTGCCATTGGGCAAGTTCCACAATGACAGGAACATATACAAAGGATAAAGGCCTAGTTTTCTCCCTAACCTTTCCCAGATAGAAATAGATGTCCAGTACTGAATGTCTTCTTTCAGTTTACTCAGCTTAATTTCTAGGATTTAAGTTTTTAGTTACCTCTTTGCCCATTTCTTACATGAGAATTGAGGCAACATGGAGAGCTGGTCTAGAAGCTAAGAAGATGTGGGTTCAAATCCCAACTACATATTGGTTATTTGACCCTAGGCAAGTCACTTACCCTCTAACTCTCAAAAAAAAAAAAAACAAAAAACAAAAAACAAAACAAAATGAAAAAAAAAAACCTTAACTCTCTAAAACAATAAATTGCATTGGTAAAAAAGGGTTACCTGATCCTAGTTCCTTAAATCACAGGCCTAGTCCCTATTTACATCCCCCTGAGAACACATACATCCAGTTTAAGTCTTAGTTCAATTTAAATATGTAAATAAATGCAAATTATGATTTTCTAATTCCACCAATATCCTTAATACAGAGATAAATAAAACAATCACATGAACAATAAGAATAAATACTTTTCCTATTCTATTTCTAAAAAATCACTGGAAGTTATGCCCATTTCAGCTTTGCGCTAATGCTAATTTTGAGCCCCAGCTCTTTTCTGTTTCTGATAAGCTCATTTATTGGCAAATTCCTTCTACTCCTTTTTTTGTCCCCCAGTTGAATAAAGCAAATGTTTGCTTTTTAAAATGTTTCAGTAATGCCTTCTGACAACATTTCTAATCTCTATTTAAAATGTGGACATGGCTAAAGAGCTGCAGAAGTTGTTTCTTTATGAATTATAGATATAGTTCTTGAACTTAACATAACTCTCTACTGACATAAGCACCTCATTTTCTTAGTTAACTCCTCAAATGATCAAGATTGCTGCTGTCATTAGAGAGGACTGAAAAGTGTGATGTTGCACGAATCTTAGAAATGTAAAACATCTCAAAATTTCTTTCTGTATTACAAGAGAAATTCAGGCGGACTAGAATAATCACTCCCATCTATAATAAGTATCCAGCCTATAACTGACATGATTATCAAAACATCCATCTCCATAGTCTCCTTGAACTTGTTCTCTTGAGGTTGAACAATTCACAATCTTCAAATGTCCTCAAAGTTTTTAGAAATTGAAAAGAGAAGATGTTTTCAATAGTTGTTCCTTACTATCATTTGTGGGCTTTATAAGCATAATTTCTATTCCATCATTTGCAGACAGCTACTTGAAATATCCAATAGCCATACTGAAATTCTATTATAGTCCATTCTCAGAGATTACACCAGTGTGAAATGCAAACCTACGGGCCCAATGCCTGCTTAGCCTCACAGCAATGTTGGTTCTAAGGTGATCGCTCACTAACTTAAAGCCTTGTCTTTGCCACTCAGGCCCACATTGGTTTTTCTCTTCTTCAAGTTGTTATTATACAGCACTTGGGTTGTCTTTAAATGGCACAATTTAGTCTTCTAGATAGCCTCTGCTTAATGGGGGTTAATTCTATTACCCCCAGTCAATTTTTAGGTTCCTCACACGTAGGTCATGATATCTTGGGCTTCTTTTTATCCTCCAAATTCCATTGAACTCCTACTCACGGTTGTTTGGGGTGCGAAAACTACACTGGTGAAACGCAAGCTGTAAGAGGTCCTAGTGAGTTGTAAGGGCTGAAAATAAAGATGTAACAATAGACTGTTACCTGCGGCCCACCTGAGCTTAGTCTGAGGAAATTTGTTAACATGAGGTAAGCAGCAAGGTTTTTGGGTTTTGTTTTTGTTTTTACTATAATAACTCATAACATTACTTAAGCATGACAGCATGGCAATGCACATTAGCAGAAGAAGTACCCACACCAATGGAAACAAAATGTTTTAAAGTACATTTAGAAGTGGAAGAAATCTTAGAAGTCATCTGGTCTAACCCTATTGTTACAGAAATTATACAATTGGGGGCAGAAGTTAAGTGACTTGCCCAGAGCCATGCAGCTAGTGAATGCATTTTTTAACCCAGCCTTTTTCTTTCTTTTTCTCTCTTTTTTTTTCCCTTTAGGGGAGAGCTTGAAGTCCCCCACTGCCACAAATTATATGTTCCAGTTTCCCATATTTGGGGAAATCACAGGGGTCAAACCTATCTGGAGTGCAACAGATAAGCCTCACCCAAAGAAAACCACCTTCATGATCATAGAATCACCCCTGCCAGGTAAGTATGAACCCAGCCCTTCTTGACAAGTTCAGCACTCTATCCACTATCCCATGAATTATTCCTCCAAAGTGCCTAGTACCCTGCCAACCACAAAGAAAGGCCGCAGAGTGAAGCATATAGTGTTGGACTTGGAGTCAGGTAGAAGCCTAGGTGATGTCAGGCAAGTCATTTCACCTCTCATTGCCTCAGTTTCCTCATCTACAAAATGAGTGAATTCTTTTTCTGGGTCTGGGATAGTGTCAGATCTATTTGAGTCAGTTTCTGTATTCCTAGTATTTAGTGATTAGAATGGGATGGGCCCCTGCCTTAGACCAAATTTCAATTGTTGCTCATGAAAACGCTGCTGCGGCCCAGCATTCTGGAAAGAAAGTTACAGAATCATTCCAATTGTAACAGAGCATACACCGGTTATTCTGTATTTCCATATGCTTGTAAGGAGGGTCAGATTTATATTTAGAGCATTTTTAAGATGAGCAATTGATTTTTCTTCTTCCTTTCCTATTCAAAAGTCAAAAAGATATGAGAACATAAAGTAAATAGATTGCCTTGGTTTCTGCCAAGAGACATGGATAATTCATTCCTATTAGGGTTTATATGATTTATCAGTCATAAAAGCTTTTTGCTGGTCAAATTAATAAACATAGATCTGCTTTTCAGGTGTTTTTGTCTAAATATACAAGAATCAGTCCTGCTATGGTCCAGGTACAGATAAAGTTGTTCTTATTTCAATAAAGCTGTAAATTCACTCTTAATCGTCTAAGAGCACAAGCTCTGATCAATCTCTATAGTGACTAAATTCTAAATCTCTGAGTTTTCCAATAAATTTTAATGTTTAGAGCTAGAAGGAACCTTGGAAATCATCTAGTCCAACTGCCTGATTTTACAAATGAGGAAAATGAGAGGTAGAAAAAATGAGTACTTTGAACTAAGTCACACAGTCCCTTTGTAGCTGAGGCAGAACCAGAAATCATCCTTCCCTGGCACTACCACACACCCATACTGTTTCATCCAATGGAATTGCTTTGGACCAAAGGTCATTTTCAAACATTCCAGAATAATGGATAGATAGAATATTACCTTCAGAATAAGTAATTGTATTAGAAGTGAATCAATGAATGAATTAATGAAGAAAAAGCATTTGTGAGATGTGCTTACCTTAAACCAGACATTGTGCTAACAGCCAGGGATATAAATACTAAAGAGAGGAAGTCCCTACCCTTAGGAACTGATGGAGAAGACAACACACAGAGGAAAGCAGTGATCACCAAAGGGCTAGATAGAAACTCCAAGCCTGGAATTATGTAACATTTCTCAAAAAGATACTATAAATCATTATGCCAGTGTAACGAGTATGTCTAAAATGACATTTGAATTTAAAATCTATCCAGTAGATTTAAAATCTATCAAGAAACCAGGAAATAGCTAGCATTTATAAACACTTCAAGGTTTCAAAGTGCTTTATAAATTTTATCTTATTTTATCCTCACAACAATCCTGGGTGGTAGGTGCTCTTATTATCCCTTTTTTTTTAACAGAGGAGGAAATTGAGGCAGACAGAGATCAGAGATTCAGGGTTGCACAGTTATTAAGAGTTAGAAGCTAGATTTGAACTCAAGTATTCCTGAGTCCAGGTCTAGCACTCTTGTCCTTGTGCCACCTAGCTGCCTCTGAGAAAATAAAATAGATAGTGATATGCCATTAACCGCTGTGTTTCAAATCATTTTGTCCAAAGAAGTAAAGTTAAAGAGAGAGTAAATATGAAAATAAGAACATCGCTGCCAGAAAATTTCATAAATCGCCCTCATTGTGTGCCAAGTGTCAACACCCAATATACTTAATCCACTTTCACTTGGGACTCAGATTTTCTTCTGAACTACGAGAAGATAATATGACAACACCTGGATGTTAGTAAGTGAAAATATTGGTTTACTTCTTTTATTTCTTAGATGTTTTATATTGCATGCATGGAAGGCAGGAAGGCAGGAAGGTAGGAAGGAAGGAAGGATGGAAGGAAGGAAGGAAAAGAGAATTGAACACAAAAGCAGAATAGAAAGCTGAGAAGTGAAAACTAAGAAACAAGGTTTTTCTAGATAGTTTTTTTTCAATTTGTGGAAAGGAATTGAAATTATCAGTAAGAGAAAGCAGAACCATCTGGGAAGCAAGACCTGGGAAATATTTACTTAAAATCATAAGAAAGACTGGATTAGGAAGAAAATGGAGCCAATACATAGGAGATCAGACTGGGGAACAAAAGGGAAAAGAACTAGCTAAAAGAAATAAAAAACAGGTACAAATCAAAATCATGGAGACTGACAAGATGAGAAAATCAGTAGTTTGAGACAAATGGGTTTCTGGTACCCAGGAAGAAGTGGGTGGGGAAAATGATTCTCAGATAATAACAGGCATAACAGTCATGAAACACCAGTCAATGACTGCGACTCATCCACAATGTAGCTATTTCACAAGAGGATACCCCCAAAAATCAAGGACTCTGTACAAGGGGAATTTTTTCTAGTTCATCATGTTTATTTCCTTTTTCTTATAATATCTAAAACTATGCTATACAGGAAAATGCTATTAATTCAAAATGCTATGTAAGATCTTAGCATCATAGATGGGCCAACATGGAACTTTGATAGCCCTATAAGCCTAACTCCCACATTTTACAGCTGAAGGGAGACTTAAAAAGATTCAATGACTTTTTCAAGGTTGCACAGGCAGAAAGAGGTCTTACTCCTATGCAAAAGTATCTCAAAATGTGCTGAAGGGATGGCGAGAAATGTGATTTTCCATGTTAGGCTTTTATATCCCCTAAAACTGAAACAACACAATTCTGCTCCATGCCAAGGAGATGTTGGAAAGAGCTCAGTTAACTAATACATAAATCTCAAAAAGCCAAATCACTGAGTCAGAGGAGAGTTTATGGCTCATTAACAATGCATTCACTTTTCAGAACTGTAAACACGGCCTTATGGATCTTAATGTAATTATTTAGAAGGAGTATGTTGGCAAAGAGTGTGAGAGTCTGTTAACACAGTCTGGAAGTCAACATGTTTTCAGGAAAGCTGTAAAATGTCAGCAGCTCATTGCACTGAGAGCTGTGTGGTGCTATGTGTCCTAACACAAGCCTGTGTGGGACTTCAGCACTATAAGCTTTTATGCTCTAGTTGCTCTGTGTTTGACATTCAAAGAAACAGGGTTTCTGGGAGTCTTATTATATTATGTGGATGGCATTTTCTTCATGACTGGTGCTTTTGCTCAACATTCTTCCTCAATACCACTAAGCACTTGAAGAGCTCTGGGAACTATTCATGCATGCTCATTGGCCTTGATTACTGCTGCCATTTAAACGAAGTGCATGGAAGGGAAAAGGTCCCTCCCAAGCTATGTTACACAGATGCAGGATTAAAAGGACTATAATCTCACTTACCTGCATGCCAACCAGAGAACAGAGACTGTTCTTTTAAATCTGGAATCAGGAATTGTAAAGGACTCTGGAGGTCATCTAATCCATTCATTCACACAATGAAGGAACCACTTTTATAGCATCCCTGACAGGTGTTTATTTGACCTCTGCTTAAATACCTTCAGTGACAGGAAGCTCACTATTTATGAAATCAGTGCTTACATGTGCCAGCAATACATTATATTTTTAATAGTTCTAGTTGTTAGAAAGTTCCACTTTACATTGCCCAGGAATGTGCTTCCCTGTAACTTTCCCTCATCCATTTTCTGGATCAAAACAGAACAAGCCTTTTCACTCTTCTACATTATTATAAAGCTGTGGATTTAGAGCTAAAAGAGACCTTAGGGGCCATTGAATAAGAAGTCTTAAATATTTGAAGACAAGGTATCAGCTAGAAAACAGAAAGCTAGTTATAGTTTTTTTTCTCTGCAATCTATAAAGCTGTATGATTGTGTGTGAGTCACTTAGCTTTTCTAAACCTAAGGCTCCTCCTTTGTAAAATGAAAATGCACTGGCTGTTCTCTGAGTTTCCTTTGAGCTTACAGGATCTATGATACTATGCCTTCCTTAATCTTCTCTTCTCCAGTTCTGCCCATAACATGATTTCCATACCCCCATTCTTCCACACACACATTGTATTTGATTAAGGACAGGTCTGTTACTTTTGAATCAAGCCTCTTCATCAGGAGTGTTATTGTTGTTGTTTTCATTTGCCACTGGAAAAGCAGTTGTTACTCATTTTCTCCATTTGTAATACATCCTCATCTTAAGGGATGTCAGACAGACTGACTAGTTGGTATATTAGAAGAATATGTTACATCCATGTTAAAAATGCATATGTTTCAAATTGACTTAAATCTGTCTTTATTTAAATGAAATTATTTCCAAAAACCACTGGGCCAAACCAAAGAACAAATCTTACAAAACTATTGACTCATTACCATTGTCAAATGAAACCAGTAACTTCCACCAGGCTTCTCCCAAAATGGCACATAAAAAGTCATAAAATCTTAGGATTTAAAGCTGAAAGGGATCTCAGCAATCATCTCGTTCAATACCTTCATACTACAAATTAGGAAACTAAGGCTCAGAAAGGGGAAATACTTATATAGATAATACGTGATACGATAAAATATAATTAGGCAGAACTTTTTTCAACTACAAATCTCCAGAATTCTGGTATTTTCTCCTTATATCCAGTCTAGTAACTGCTTTTTATGCTGAAACCTCTCCAACTCTAACCAAATGTAATCTGCCTGCTTTATTTCAGTTAACTTAAATATTAGAACCTGGCATAGTTAGTATCAAAATATCCAAAGCCAGGAGAGATAAAGTTCCAGGAAGCAAATGACAGGTAAGGTCTGAATATAGAGGGTGTTAATCCACTGGGTCAGAGACAGATAATGGATGAAACAATTCAATACCCTGGATAATTCTAGGAATACAAGTCCTTCTGACAAAAATGCAAGGCACTCTTCTGAAGGCTTTTCTCTTCAGAACCCCCAGACCATCAAGTTGATTTCCATCCCTCCTTTGATG